TCATGCCACCAAGTGTGATTCTTCCCTCTTTGTATCGTTCAACAACTCTACCACCACATATGTCTTGATCTATGTAGATGACACTTTAATAAATGTCTCCTCCTCCACTGTGATCTTTTCTCTTGTCCAATCTCTTAATTCTGCATTTTTCTCAAGGACTTAGGACCACTTCACTATTTCCTTGGCATCAAATCCAAGTCCTTATCCAGTGGTGCACTACATCTGTCCCAGTCAAAATATATTGATGATTTACTCACCAAAGCAGGCCTATCTAATTGTAAACTAATGCCAACTCCAATGGTGTCTGGTTTAAAACTTTCTGTTCGTGATGGCAGCACATTTGACAACCCTTTTCTTTATCGTTTGATAATAAAAGCTCTACAATATGCCATATGTAATGTCTAGCTGCCTCAAGAATCAATGACTGTCCCCACGAACTAACACAAGACTTTTCGGCGTGCATTGTCCTCACTCGTAGACTTCTTGGGAAAATTTCCTATGAGGTCACCTATCCCAGGATTGCTCCAAGTTAAGCATGCTTAACTATAGAGTTCTTCCGTTATGGGCTACCGAAAAATACATGCATCTTGTTATTCTAGGTAGTACCAATTAATTATTATAAGTTATCCCTAACTATACAATTGTATACTTGTACAGTCTCTGGAATCTCTCTCTTTCGGGTGTTGATTCGATTCATTCATGTACTCTTTCGGCTTGAAAGCCTGCCAGGATACGCTACTCCTCGCCCTCATCTGCCCACCGGAATGTCACACCACAATTACGCGTCTAGACATCACTTTCTCAGTTAATAAAGTGTGCTAATTCATGCACCACCCACTGGACTTTCATTGGAAGGCTGTTAAGCGCATCCTGCGCTACCTTCGTGGCACACCTCACATGGGTCTCGCCATTGCCCCTTCTTCTAAACCTCAACTCCTTACCTACTATAACTCTGATTGAGGATCTGATGTAAATGACGGATGCTCCACTTTAGGGTTTTGCGTCTTTCTAGGGGAGAATTTAGTGTCCTGGTCCTCTAAGAAGCAATCAGTGATGAGCCGTTCAAGCACTGAAGTAGAAGACATGTGTCTAGTTGCTACCAGAACTGAACTCACTTGGATCAAATCATTGCTATCAGAACTCAAAGTTTCCCCCTCTCATCCACCTCAGATTTTTTGTGACAATCTCAATGTTGTGCTCTTTACTGCCAACCCTCTATTTCACTCTCGCATAAAGCATTTTGAACTTGACCTACACTTTGTTCGTTAGAAGATACTCAATGGCTTAATTGTTGTTCAACACATCCCTTCAAGAAACCAGATTGCAGATGGTCTTACTAAGGTTGTGTCCCACTCTCAGTTTCTTAGAGACAAACTCACACTCTCGGTTCATTCGACGTTGAGTTTGCAGGGGATGAAAGAGTAACTGTTGAGTCAGCTATTACCCCTAACTAATTCTGTGAATCTAGCTAGTTGGTTGAAACTGATTTAGTTCAGTGTTTAGTTATTCATAGTGTAAGGACCAGTGTATATATGTAGGCATCCTCTGCTATAGAAAGTATATTGTACAATTCATTTCTTGTATACAAAGAACACGTTTTCTCCTTTCTTTCTCTTTGTATCTCCTCTTTCTTAATTTCTTTCTCTTTATGCTTATGATACCTTTCAGGACTTAAAATTTTAGGCATATCATGTTCTATCACACTTAGCGAGAAAGGTAATAGGGCAACTTGTTATTTAGCTTCTTTATCTTTCACTAGCGATATTATCTGAGTTGAGATGCATGCTTCAGCTATAAATATAATCTCATTATGTTTGATGTCATAAATTTGCCGTGTTGAATGAAAATTTGTTTCCTCTATAAGAAAAAATAAAACTTTCTAATGAGTAGTTGAATATATAGTAATTATTGAGTCAAAAAAATGTTTTAAAAGTTATTTAATATATCTAATGATAATGAAACGTGAGACAATTCACCAAATTATTATAAAAAGTAAATAAATACTGAAGTAATGTTACTATTTAAAGAACTAAGGGACATTTGATTAAACTTTCAAGTCTATGAGTTTAGAGGTGGTAAAGCGGGCAGCTCACCCCACCCCGTTATCAGCCTGACAAAAAGTGGGCTGATCCGGCCTGACCCATTTGGCAAGCGACCCTTAAGGCCAAACCCATTTTACATTAAAAAAAATACTGAATTGAGCGAGTTGGTGGGCTAGACAGGCAGAGCGGGTAAAACAACTCGGTTCGCTATGCTGAGCCCATTTTGTCACCTCTAATTTAAACCCAACCCACAATTGTTTTGGATTCAAGGATGAATTGATTTTAATTTTTTAAAACCAATTCTTATATTAAATTTTTGAAAAGGAAAAGCGTTTATTATTTTAAATGATACAACTTTTTTTTTATATGAAACGAAATCATTTTTGTGCATAATTGATAATTTTTTACCTTCTTTCTTCTTCATTTTCTCTCTCTTCCTAATTTCACGAAGAAGAGAGAATATAAAAAATCATCAAATTTACTTCAAACGATGTCGTTTCATCTAAAATGACACAAAATAATATCATTTAAAATTACATACACTTTTTCCTTTTTTAAATAATGCAAATGGCGTTATTCTTTCTTGTCCCCATTTCATTTTTTTATCTGTTTATATATTATTTATAACGACATTGATTTTAATTAAATTATGTAACTTTTATAAAATTCTGGGACTTATTATGTTGCCGCGTTTATTTAATATATGTGTTTATTAAGAACTTATCATGATTGTACAGGAAACATGAACTATATGTTTTATTTAATTTTTTTCTTTTTCTATGTTTATGTCTGTCTGTATTCGCTTGGAGGTTCTATCTAAATCCCAAACTTCCAAGAACTATATGTGTTGGAACTGTGCCTGTAAGAGTATAGAGAGGATTTCAACCTCAGACGATAAGCTTATGAAAGAAGAGATAAAAGAATATTCTAATTATATAATAAAATCATTATAATTTATAACAATCTTATCTAATTACATGCATATATCCAACCATTTGCAGATAAGTTTTTATTTTTGGTATGTAGTTTAAAAAAATAAAACAGGCTGAAGTGAGAATTACGTCTAGCTATGGATACCCATAATATTTTTTACATCACTGCAACATATATTGACATAGTACTAAGTACTAACTTATTATATGTGAAAATTAAGAATGGGGTTTGGTCCTTTTACAGATTCATCGTTTTATTTTCGCCCAATGCAGCAAAACATTTAAAGATACAAGTAAATGTATAAGAATCCCCTGTAATTCCCTACTTCTGCATTTTCTTTAAAAGACACTTTCCCTGAAATTACCAATTTTTGCTAATGAATTTTTTTTATCCTTTTGAATCTACCTGGTTTTGTAAAAGAAACGTAAAATTTTTAAATGTTTTTTTTTAAATTTTCAACAAATTTGTGGGGGTCTTAAACCTCCAGAAACAGAAACATTTGTGGGGGTCTGTCACCTCCAGAAAATATTTCAATAAATTGTGGCGTTGCACATAAAGACCCCACAAAATATGTTGTGACGTATGCCACAAATGTACTTTGTGGAGGTTAAAGACCCCCACAATATGAAAATATGACTCCCACAAAATGCTTGAATTTTTGTAGTGTCATATTTTTTAATTTATAATTTATTTGAGAATTAATATATGCTAGCTTATATAATAATTGTTAAGTTACTTTTTAGTTTATTTATGATTTATATTAATTTTAATAAAAAATTGATATAATAAATTTCTAATTTAATTTTGCGTCATTTATTTTAAGAAGTATTTTTTAAAAAAATATTTAAAATCCAGAAATTCAACCCAAATCAATTCATTTATCATTGGGTAAAATGAGATAATGATATATGAGGAAGGATCTGTTTATAAATTTTTTTAAATTTTTTTTACAAATTACACTATGTTCTCTCGAGAGAACATAGTATAACTAGTATTTTCTTTAAAGAATATAGTATAGTTTGTAAGAATTTGTAAATAAAAAAATTTGTATATATAACATGCCCATTGTACATAAAGCAAAAAAATTCTTTTAACTTATGTTACTTGTTGCTTGAATGAACGACTAACGGACACCTAAACCGAAGTACTTATTTGTCTCTTAAAATATTAATTATCAAGCCATTATGATTGGACCACTGGAGTGATTTTACAACTAGTCGCTTATTAATTATCCTTGTTGTATAATGCAAAACGAGATTTAAAAAATTCAAACAATGAAAAATGAGGATTTACAAGGCGGATTCATTGTTAAATTCAACATGGCCATGAAATATTTGACAACGTTAGGACCCTCCATATTTATTGCGCATACATAACATTGAATTAACACTCCACAGTCCACACTATAATATATCCGTGTTGAGGGTACACTCTCTAACTCAATCTTGGGATATAGCAAAAATAACCCAATAAGAAGAAAGCGTGCAGGAGAGAACAACCCTTGTGAGGTTGAGGAAGTGAGTGGCTGATCTGAGAGAAGGAGTTGAGAACCACCGTAGTGAATAGTATTCCTGTCACGTCAAGAAGGGCCCACATCATTTGAAATTGCCAAACACTGTACAAAATGCAAATAGCAATTCTCTTCAATATACTCCCACTCGGAATAAATTTTTGGTATTATTGCTGTATTAAGATTCAGTACATCTTATCAATGAAAGTATTATATATAAGAGGAGAAAAAAAAATTGACAGAAAAAAAAAAATTTAACTTACACATAATATTTTAATTGATGAGATACACCAGATCTTTAATAAATTAGTAATACCAAAATTTATTCCCCAGACTCCCCACGCACATCACCAATACAACTCTATTCACACCCTCTTCATTCTTTTTCATTCATTCACCTAAGCTTTTTTACGTCCCATCACCAATCTCTCTCTCTCTCTCTAAAATAATTCTCTCTCTCTTTTTCCTTTCTTTCCCTTTCTCGCTTCCCAAACCAAACCAAAGAAAACGCTCCACCCTCTCTCTCTCTCTCTCTCTCTCTAACAAAAAACTAGAAACCCTTTCCCGTGAAAACATTCACCGCAAACTCAAACAAACACTCATCACTCTCATTCACAAGTAGCCAAAAAAAAATTAAAAAACAAAAACATAATTTTCACCCGGATCACATAGATCACACAATAAACCACACATAGATATAGATATATACCTTAATTGAACCTACCCAAGTAACCTTAACGTTGTTGATCATCATGGACTCAGCATCAGAGGGTCCATCAGCTGCTGTTACAACAACTACAACCACACCTAAACCGGAGGGATCATCACCGGCGCCACCGCCTCCACCGAGCCGTTACGAGTCACAGAAGCGGCGAGACTGGAACACGTTCTTACAGTACCTTCAAAACCACAAGCCGCCATTGACGTTAGCACGGTGCAGTGGCGCGCACGTGATCGAGTTCCTAAAGTACCTCGACCAGTTCGGGAAAACCAAGGTTCACGTAACCGGTTGTCCTTACTTTGGTCACCCGAACCCTCCGGCACCGTGCGCGTGTCCACTGAAGCAGGCGTGGGGCAGTCTTGACGCGCTGATCGGGCGGCTCAGGGCGGCCTACGAGGAAAACGGCGGCCGCCCTGAGTCGAACCCGTTCGGCGCCAAAGCTGTTAGGATTTATCTCAGAGAAGTGAGGGAAAGCCAATCCAAAGCCAGAGGTATACCTTATGAGAAGAAGAAGCGGAAGAGAGTGAGTAGTAGTGGTGGCAACGGCGGCGGTGCTAACAGCGGTGCAGTTTCTATTGCTAGTGGTAGTGGCGGCGACGGTTGTGTTGGTGGTGTTGGTTCTAGTGCTAGTTTAACTTCTGCAACTGCTACAGATATTGTTACTACTACTACCACCGTATAGTGATTTTAATTTTAATAATTTTTTATTTAATTCTTCCCATTTTAATTTTTAAGGAAATTAATTGTGATTACGGCTTATAATTAAGTTACATATTTCTTAATTATGGCGATTTTCACCATCAACAAAATTTAGGTTTAATTTTTTTGTTTATTTTTATGTTGCTTTGTTGTAGTTGATCATATGGCACTTCCTAACTAGGTTTCTTATTTGATATGTTTTGCTTCTATTTTATTTGTTTATTTTGAACTTATTGTCATTCTATAAAACAGTGTAGCTAGATGGAAGGTAATCAAAGGAATTGACCCTTTCATTATGATTATAATCATTTTAGAAGGTAGAAATTACAGTTTAATTAATTGTTTCCCTTCTCATCCTTGACTTGTTTTAGTGGTGTTATTAGCTGCTACTAGAAAGAAGAATAAGAAGGTCTAACCCTTCTTTATGTAAGAGTACTACTACAACTCCGAGCAACACTGTTCATATGGTCCCCTGGGCTCAATCTATCAGCAATGATGCACACGTGCGCTTATCATTTTACAACATTTTTTTGCACTTCTGTTTCAGGTGCCTGCTTTGCAATTTGATTTAAGATTTTGTTTTTTCAGTTTTAGAATTTTGGCATATTTTCTGTTCGTTTCAGACCGAGGTAGGTTTTGAAATTTTAACTTTATTCACCATCTTCCCTCTACTGTATTATTCTCTCTCTCTCTCTCTCTCTCTCTTATGATACCTATAATTGACATTTGTTTCCGTGATAACAACACCTACTAAAAGATATTGCCTGCAAGCATCATTGAAAGAAAAAAAAAAAGGTGATCCCTTGTGATTGCTGCTCATATTTTATTTGGGTAAACAACACCAAGGTGTGAAAAGGACCATTAGCCAACCGATCCCTTACATTCTATATTTTTGTTTATATTATTCATTTGCATTATCATAACCCTTCTACAATGTATTGTGTTCTATTTTGTTATTATAACATAGATGTCAGACCCACCAGCCTATCCCAAACAAAACCTCATTTCTGAATTTTAATTTGGAATTTTTGGACCCATATCCACTAAAATCATGATTCATCCACTCAATGATAAAGTACGGAAATTATTTCTTTGTATTACTTTTTTGTTCTGTTCTTCTTTTTCTGGCATTATTTTTTTTTCCTTCTCTCTCCATAAAGAAATATTTATAGTTTAGCATTTTGATAGGAACTTTCGCTTTTTGGCCTTTTGTATAACCACATAATTTCGTATAGGGAACTTTATTTCTCACTTTCGTAATATTTTCTTTATTATGGGCTATGTCCACTTTAACCATTTTCGATTTCCCAAAAATCAAAAAAGAAAATTGGATATGTCCTTTCTTTTTTTAAAATTAATTAAAAAAAATCCCTCTTCTTAATTTCTTCCTCACTTCACTCCCTTCTCCTCTTTTTATTTCTTCATACTTTTACCCTATTGGCTATATGTGTAATCTCTCCCTGCTTTACCCTCAAAATATATCCAATACGATGAAATATGCATTGTCCATTGTTTTGTATTTATTTATGGGTTCGCTTTTTCTACTATCTACAGTGAGCTCAAAATGACGTTGTTTTGAGGCAGAAATCAAGGTATTTTTGTAATTATAATTTACTTCAGAGTTATAATAGTCTTTTTTATTATAATTTTTTAATTTTTCAACCCAAAACAATGTCGTTTTGAGAGCGAAGATAAATAACTTATCTACGTTCCTTTATTTATTTATTCATTCTACAATAAGTGGGTCAGAGTTCTGAACAGAATTAAGTGCAAAGGAGCCAATATCACAAGATTGATCAGGAGAAAGAGAATCCCACTTAGGTTCTGAATTTTTTGCCTCTTTTTGTCGCTACATAGAATGGCATTCATGTCTGTTATAGTAGCACTCTCTGCATTGGCCATAGCATCATGTACTTCATTTATGGGGTTTCTATGGTGGGTGGGATTTGTTTAGATCTAGAGATAGGGCAGGGTTGGTTTTTTTTTCCTTATACTCAAGGGTACCTGCTTCTTGTGATTGTCTGAGACAGAGACCATTTGAACAGTGTCATTATTGACGTTATGGTTTGGAAAAAGAATATATACTTGAAATTTTTGTATAGCTTTAGCCATAGCCAAAGAGGTCACCCCCACATGCTGTTGCTTATAGTCACAAAAAAATAAACGGACGATACAGTAACACGTGGGGTAGTGTCCCCAGCATGCAGCATTTTGAACCATATATTTACGTGCACATTTTGCCATCAGATCGGTGTGCACTTGTTGACAATTAATAGTAGTACCAAAATGGACAGGGGGATTACTTTTTGGGTCAAAAATTTCAAAATTGATAAGGGCCCCTACAACATTGTAATCATGTGATGATGTTAAAACTTGAGGAGGCATTTTGACTGATGTAATGCAAAAGCAGATACATTTCATCGGATTAATTCAAAACATGGAATGTATGTATTTAAGTTGTGCATCACTTGATGTGTGATTTGTATAAAATATAAGACGCATACATAGTATGTGTATGTTTAAGTTGCTTATACTGTATATACGTCTTGCATAGAGTAACATGTGATAGACATATATATTTTGATTTTTTTTACAAATCAGGTGATGCGCGATTTAAAGATGCATCATTAGCATTAAATTAGTAAATATTTTCTCAAAAGAATTAATCGGATAAATTGTCTCTGATTTCACATTATATAGGTCAAAAAGCATTAGGAGATCATCAAACATTATCTAATTGTTTTGCAACGGCCTCTGCTTTTTCTTTTTTCTTTTTTCTTTTTTCTCCTTTTTTTTGGGATAGTAAGTTTCAGGTCTTTTAGGTGTAAAACGCTGTCTTCTTATTATGACGCTGCCTTTGTCTGTGAGGTGATAGATTTTTCCACCCTCTGGTTCAGTTTTTGTGCTCGTGCTTGGATTTTTGAATGTGCATGTTTAGAGAAATGTTTTGCGGTGAGAATAAACGGCAAAAAATGGACTTTAATATATAATGACCCTAAAACCATTGAGGGACAAATAAGTAGAAAGATTGTAATTAATAACTCAAGCAATTGGAAAAACTTTAGCCAAATAAACAATAAGAGTATACATTTCTTACTTGTATTAGGGACAAATTAATATGAAATTAATCTAATATTCCCCAAGAAATTAGAGGAATAGATCTAATAATTGATAGGTTGGAAAAAGTGCCCCTTTTATTGGGGCGGACTTAATCATTTAGTGTGATTTTATTTGAATAATGATACCCCACACATTTACACAAACTACTTTATATTTATATTTTTATCTTATGATTATAATTGATTTTACCTTTGTTTTAATATTTACATTACAATTCTGCTAACTCACATTGATGTAATGTGCTATGTACTCATGAAAGTCACCTTTCACGAGTACAAAAGGCTCATTTTCTTATCCGTGGGTCTATATATGTCTGATGTCTCTATTACTTTTCTTTACATACATGTGAAATAAGAAAGGATTTGTTTACAATTTTTTTTTATAAATTACATTAAGTACGACCGGTCATACACTTTTGATTGAAGTATGACCGGTCATACTTAATGTAATTTGTAAGAGTTTTTAAACAAAAAATTTGTAAATATAACCTTCCTCGGTCATGTCAAATAAATAATCAAAATAATAAAAAAAAAAAACAATATCACAAAAATTATTAACTAATAAAATGAGCAAAGAGTTATACATGTGTTACTTCTGGTTGTTGTAAGCATGAAGTGTAGCTAATTAGTTAAAATCAAACTGACACTTGAATAAGAATTAATCCCTTGGACTGTAGAAACATCTTGTAGTTTTATTTTTATTTTATTTAAAAAAAAAACTTTCTTCTTTGTGTAAATAAGAATCATGATGTATTTGTATAACTGTGCTCAACTAGTTGTAACCATTTTTTTCTGAGTAAATACCATTTTTCGTCCCTGGAAATATTTGTGAAGCACAATTTAGTCCCTCGGTTTAAAAAAGTCACATTTCAGTGTTTCATCTTTGAAAAAAAGGGCCACGTTCGTCCTTCCGTTAGTTGGCATCTAACGGTGCACACGTGGACCGTTACTTTGCTGAGTCACCGTTAAGTATGCCAGCTTGGAAGTAAAACGACGCCGTTTTGAAGGTGCCTTATGTCTTGTTGGAGTTTTGAACAGCTGGAGGTCCTATTTGGTCCCTGACAAATTTATCGAGGCCCTATTTGGTCCTTAACACTAAAAAGTCACCATTGCAGCAAACCTTTCAAACCACCATTGCAGCAAACCAAGGCTTATGCTATTGGCAAGGCTTATGCTATTCGATCAGATTTCCCATTGGCCAAGGCTTATGCTCTGATTCAATAAAAAATGATGATGATAAAATGAAACTAAAGTCGAATAGAGTATTTGGTGAAGGAGAACTGCATTTCATCGCAGGAAAATCACATTGACTCAAATTATTGTACTTTTTCGTTAATGATTTGAACATCACAATCCACCACTAGCTGTTTGTGTCCAAAGAGGACGAGGAGCTCATCATATCGTGTACTCAACTTGCTCAAGTTTTGCATTGGCTGTGTAATAATGACAATAATATAAGAACCCACAATGAAACTTTTTTCCTCTATGAAGCAATATATTGTTTCATGCATCAAGGTTTAATTACAAAGGTTTCACTCTTACGACCTTTTAGAGGTATCACTTCTAAAAGAGTTCCTTGCAATTGCAAACAATGCATTAAATGAAAAGGGAAGAATGAGTTCTTTTTTCTTTTCTTTTCTTTTTTCATGTGTTCTCCTTTTTCATTAGACAACACTTTTATTGTTACTCAAGACAGTTGCCATGATTTTGGAAAGTGGTATTTTGTAAAAAAGAATGGTAAAAGTTTATTATTTATTATTTTTTCATAGATCGTTGCATCTGTTATCATCATGACAAAGCTTGAACATCCATGAAATTTGTGGGATTGTTTGCCTTGTGTTTTAGTTCTGTGCCAATATTATTGATGGTTGGTTGGATATATGAAGTATGAACTAGATATTAGATTGATACTTGAACAAGATTGTATATATTAAGGTACATAGACTGGACAGAGACTGCTCCGGCATTCTGGTGATGGGAAGGACACAGACAAGTGCTGCAGTTTTGCATTCCATCTTCCGCGAGAAAGCTTCCAGGGCGTCAGATGATGTGAGTGATAATTGTACTTTTTCATCAAATGCTTCATGCTGGCTGACCTGGATGATTTAACCTCCAGAGCATTGGTCTATTATGGTCACAATCTCAAGTTGCTATATCTGTTTCATTTTTTTCTGACCTTGTTCCATTTGATCCTTAAATAGATTGACACAAAAAAGAGAATCCTACAAAGAAGGTACTGGGCACTGGTCATTGGATGTCCTAGACGTTCAAAGGGGTTGGTTACTGCTTCATTGGGTAAGGTTGTATCCATATTGGCACTTCATATGTACTATAGAAAGCTCGTTATATATTGTAAAAGATTGTTGTAATCCTTTTTTTGGTTTCAGGTGGTTGTTGACAATGGGAAATCTGATCGAATAGCATAAGCCTTGGCCAATAGCATAAGCCTTGGTTTGCTGCAATGATGGTTTGAAAGGTTTGCTGCAATGGTGATTTTTTAGTGTTAAGGACCAAATAGGGCCTCGATAAATTTGTCAGGGACCAAATAGGACCTTCAGCTGTTCAAAACTCCAACAAGACATAAGGCACCTTCAAAACGGCGTCGTTTTACTTCCAAGCCGGCATACTTAACGGTGACTCAGCAAAGTAACGGTCCACGTGTGCACCGTTAGTTGGGCCGTTAGATGCCAACTAACGGAAGGACGAACGTGGCCCTTTTTTTCAAAGATGAAACACTGAAATGTGACTTTTTTAAACCGAGGGACTAAATTGTGCTTCACAAATATTTCCAGGGACGAAAAAGGGTATTTACTCTTTTTTTCTTAATCATGTCATTTTCAATACCCTTTATTGGGTGTGATTGTCTGCTCAATGACCTAGATTTTTAATTTCAATTTTGGTTCAAATAGGTTCTTGATAAATTTTAAGATAGAACACATCCATCTTCCATCTTTATAACTTCTAGAGTTTCGATGAACATTATATGCCCCTCAATCTATATTTTAATTTTTATAATAGCTTAAAAAATAAATAATAATAACGAGTCCATTATAATCGCTAAGTTTAAAGTATTATCATTTAAAGAGTGTTTAAAAGCAATTATAACTGTAAAATATGAAGTAATTATAATTTTATTTTTTATATTTATATAAGTTATTAAAAATGATAATATTTTTAAAATAAAATTAGTCAAATGAAGAAATACCTTTATAATAATATAGGTATAAATTATGGGAAAAATGTTTGTCATTTTAAATGACATAACACTCTGTCCTTTTAAGAGAGAGACAAACGCATAAAAAAAATTTATTTAAATTTTAAATTAAAAAAAAAAACCACCCACTTTCTCTCTCCATGATTTTCATTTTTCTGTGTCTATCTCTCTCCTAAAATGACATAACTTATGTCATTTAAAATGACAAACACCAAACCCATAAATTATATATCTTTAACAAGTGTAATAATCAATTATGATCTTCAATAATTGTTTCTTTTAAATTACAGAGGATCTCATTCCTTAAAAGTAATTTATGATAAACAAAAATTTAGATAAATATAACTTAATGAATATCAATCTTTAAATCCCAACTACACTCCCTCTAACTCTGTAACTCTTAGAATTGTAGAGGTTCCGAGTTCGTGTAATTAATATATTTAGACCAAAGTATAAGTGTCACCAAAATAACACTTTTCACTAGTAAAAAAAATATAGAAAAAAACATATTAAAATTTTAGTAAAGTATTTAATATCCTTAACACTTATATAGTACAAAGTCTTGAATTTCTAACTCTGGTTTCAAATTGAAGAATTCTATGGATTATTTCATCTTAGAGAAATTAAACTATTCTTTTTTATTAGTTAAATGAAATCATAGTACTTTTTATTTTTATTATTTGGCATACAAACGATTGAGTAGGATGCCTTACTTGATTAAAAATAGGGGTGTCGTATGATTTACGTCAAATCAGACCTAACCTAATATATTTAGTAAAATAGAACATATTTAGGCTTTTAAAAAAACTTATCCAGAAAACAGGTTGTAGGTTGAATGTTACAAAGCTTTAGACTTATGGCACACTAGGTTCGTCTGTCCAAATTCAGAGTAACTATTCATATAATGAAGTATTCATAACCTCGTCTGGCTTGAATGCTAATTGGTCCACATCCATCAGTATGTACCAATTCTAGTTGAATAGTTGCACAAATCCCTTTGACATTGTAAGATTGTTTGGCCATTTTACCTTCCAAATAAGACTTACATGTAACTTTTAGTTCAAAGACTATGAAACTTTCAGTCCCTCTTTTAACTAAACCATATTTCCTATTCGAGGTAAAATGACTCAATCATAAAGGCCAAATGTATGTTTCATTTGAAACTTTTATTTCTTTAGTAAATGTTCTTGTTCATCATCCTTTTAATTTAACATAATAAATTCAATTGGGTATCGGATATAGGTAATAAAGACTATTTAAACAATGTATCGAAACAAACAAGACGAAGATGAACTTTGAAACGAAACTGGGGAGTCAATTGCATTGTTAAACCATATTTTAACCAAACAACTAACAATAATTGTATTTCTCTTAAAACCCAGAACAAATAAATCAAAATCCTTTAAATAACTTGTCCAACTGCATGGAATCACGCTCTATAGGATTTGAACCTAAACATCGGGTTTTGGAGACCCGCATTCTACCGAAATGAACTAAGAGCGCTTTATTATCCTACATAATTTCATACGACCCTGCCAATACAGCTTGCATGCATATACTATATCAATAAATTTTGATTCAAGCTTAAAATTTCTTTATCCACCTCTGACAGGCATGCTATGTTTGAACTACAGCAAAGAGTAGCAAACATAATCAGTGGTTCCTGAAATATTGATTCATCCACACTAACCAAGCCTTAACTTACCCATGTTTGGTTTTTTTCGTCACCTCTGGGCAATTTTTTTTAGTGTCCCTTCAGTCCGCACTTGAAGCACTTGCCTTTCGACTTTTTCATAGCAACTAGTTTGACTACTGATAACCAAGTCATTTTGTTCTTGTTACAATCCTTGGGTTCCCCTTTTGGATTTAACAGAACTCTGAGCAAACCCTGTATTAACTGCATTCTGTCTAGCAGGGCCGCTAGACGCAACATATATGTCATTAAGAGTTTGAAACATCTCTACTTCACTCTTAACCATGTTTACTTGCTCTTGGAAGTGTTTGGAAAGACTAATAAGAACAGAGCAACAAACTACTTTATCTTCCCTTTCCCAATTTGAGTATTACGTCATCGTTGCCTTAGATGTATCCTCTGCAGGTTGCCATGACTTTGGTATTGTCAGGACAAACTTTAGCTTTTCATGTTTTAGAACAATATCAAGGTTTGCTTTCCACTGTTCATAATTGGTACCACCAAGAGATTTTTGACTTAAAAATCATTTCTAAAGAATTGCAGGAAGACATTTCTGAAAAAACATACAAGGCACAAAATTATAATCAATAATGCAATAAACAAACTAAGTGCAAGTAGATTTTCATAATTAATTTTGTTTATTATTAACAATCATTCAATTTTCTTTACAAGGCTTACGATTGGCAAACCACTTGTAAAAATCAAAAATGTTATTTGGGCCTTCGGTGTCATTGCCAGAACCTCGATAGGAGGGCTAACAATTTTACCAAATTTGAATGTGATTAACCATTATTTAATTTCAAAAATTTTCCTTAGTATCCAAGCAATACCGACGATGGGCCGTACAATACTTTACTAATTTTTTTTGAAATTATTATGGTTTAATCTAGTGAAATTCGACCATGCTTATCCGGTGAGGCTTCAGCTATGATCATTTCACTAATAAACCCACAAATAGAACTCGCATGTTTTAAAATTAATTACTTATTTTTAAAACCTTCACATATTCAATATTTTTATTGAAAATTTTCATAAGCTTAGTCAAATGTAAAATTCAATGTTTAATTTCATAATTATCTTTAATAACTTAGTATTGCCAAGCGATGGGTCGTACAATTTTTTATTAAAATTTTGAAATTATTAAGGCCCAATAAAATCTAATTATGCTTATCCAATAGGGCTTCACATGTTTTTTTTATTGATAGGCCCACAATGTTCTTGGAGGTTAAATTAATTTTTTAATTTAAATCTCCTCCCATAATTATTTAGGCTCAATATAATAAAATTCAATCATGCTTATAAGGTGAGGCTTCCCATGATTATTTTATTATTGGTCTTAAAGTGTGTTTCGAGGTTAAATTAATTTATTAATTTAAATCTCCTCCCATTCTACATAAGCAATTTTACAATTTCCTAGAACTATTCAATTGAGAATATCCTTTTTTTATTTCAAAAACTATGTAAACACGCGTGCCGATGAACGTGCATCGCTTAGCTTATCGAAATTTTGAAATCATTAAGGTCCTAAAGTCTTGTCATGATAGGCAGCACGTGCTTTACACAATCATAATATATGATTGTGGTATGCAGTGTGTGTTAACACATGACCATTTTAGAAGACCCACAAATTACCCGCAAAATAAACAATTCTCTTAGGAAAATTTTCCAATTATTTATCTAGATTTAAATTATCCTAAATAATCGACTTAATTTTTAATCTAGATTTTAGGAATCATAATAATTGTTATTTATGAGGATAATTTGAAATCAAAATAATTTTCATAACGACCATTAATCATTAAATTCGTCATGCGTATATTTCAAAAATTAGAATTAATGTCATAATGACCATTAATCTAGCCTATCAAATGTAACAACCATTACATTTAAATTTTGAAATATGAATTAATTGTCATAATGACTATTAATCTAGTCGTTCAAACATAACAGTCATCATGCTCATGTAATTAACAAGTTATATAATAATACGGCAACACATATTTTATATGGCATATTATCACATCAAGCATGTTATCAATCATATAATTCATTCATTATAAAAATAAAGCCATTATAATGACCGTTGCAATTGGATCTGCGAAAACGTTTAGACCATTGAAGTTTGGAATGCAATAGATCATCATCATTTTAATTTACCTCTTGACCCGCATATCTACGTAGAACCACCTCATATATGATTCTCCTTCACAAACCGATCTCCTCTATGTCACGGCACAGACTCAGATCTTCTCTGCATCACAACACGATCAGACCTCACGTGTTTTAGGTAAATCTTCTTGACTATCCTCAATGAGGAAGGGAGAATATGTTGACATTTTTTCAGATCTGAGCTTACCTCTTCTGTTCAATGACCTGGAGGTTGATGACTTAAGTGCTAGTATTTATATGGGTACTAAGAAACTCTAGCCCTGATCTCTACGGGCTCTAAACTTCTTGTGCTCTTTTCATACTCTTTGCCCAATTGAGCTTAAGTAAAGAGCACAAAATCCAACACTTATATCATATTATTTATTTTAATTAAAATAAAATAAAATAATTCT